TCGTGAGTCTCGAAGCGAAAATAAACTCTGGCGCGAGAATGGTCAAACCGTGGTAGCAGCCACGTTATTTCATTATCATGAGAGTACGATTACTCGCGTAATCATTCCATATTTGGAATTCGCATTTCTTATATGGTAGGATGAAAATACTCCGTAAGATACCGCAAAATTGCAGCACGTTGTAACTTACGGCGTTACGGTGACTGATGTATAATAATATTATATTTATATGATAATAAACCAAACATTCAGTCTCTATACACGCCCGTACAGAAAATAGATAACCGCGAATCATTCAATGATACGTCAGTCCAATATTTGCACTTACCCGTTTTCATTGACGACGCGTATGTGGTCATACGCATACCCCTCAACGAAGTTCAAGCATGTTACAGATTCCAAATCAGCCAGGGCGGCCCTCACTTCCTGTTTACTGGCATAGCCTGTTGAATAATAACAGTTGGTAATTGGTTAGAATCACAAGATGCATGATACAGAGCTCAAAACTACGTCATCGCAATAAATTTGTTTTGATAACAACTTACTGAGAGGATTATAGTAGTTATCGTCGAACACATAGTGAACAGTTGCAGCAGGCCAATACCTGTTACTGTTCAACGTCGCACCACGTTTTCTAAAGACAAACAATTAAACAGATTGTTAGTGGGGGTGTCCATTTCCATGCTGCATTCATGCAAATTGGTTCGAAAAACTTGAAAATTAATTACTCATCCATGATTGACAATCCTTCGTCTCTCCTTCGCCTCTCATCGTCGTTCAGTTTGATGTCAGCTTCGAATAGATCTGGTATGTACAATATGGATAATAATGTGTTATTTATCATGGACATAACGGACGGCAAATATATTTCAATACGATTTTCAATTATATTTTTCTTACGATTTAACTTAACACATACCTAAACCGGTATTGATTTCTAAAATCTTCGTCACTGGTCTTTCTAACTCAACCTGTCTTGCAGACTCGATTTTATTTTTTTCTTCGTTAATCAAGTTCAATGCATAGTTATCGTCTGAAAATTAAATAAAAATTATACCTGTAAACTGCAATTAACCGCTAAACGAGAACGGATTTTTTTAAGGGTTGTTACTTACCCGATCCCATAATTTCGCACAAGTAATTGTGTTCATCATCACAGCTTTCATACCGCCACTCAAGCACGTGTTTTGGGCTTTTCGCAGCTAAAACGCAGTCCTTGTCATCCGTGTTTCCGTCAGATGCTGCCCAAGGATAAGCTTTATTGATGTTATAAATTATTTCTGAATCAATCCAACATGGCTGACCATCAAGTGCCAGGTCCCGTAAACCGATCCAAATTTCCACATCTCTGAAATGATAAGAAACACACAATTTTTGGCTTTTTTTAAAAAACAAAACAATGACACGATTTTTTACTCTCACTGTACACTGTGTAAGAACGGCTTCATTATTACTTATTATTACAAATAGGCACGAGTTGGTTTTAAAGAGAATTTGCTTCTATGTTTGTCAAATTCAAACAACTATTGATAAAACTCTGTTAGCGAAAATGTCAGGACAAATGCATTCTACGAATATATAGATTTGTGGATGTTTATGGCCATTATTGTTCTGGTTACAGTAGTCAACATTTTTCTAGCAAAAGCTTATCTTGTTCGAACTAGAATGGATCTAGGTATGTAGTGACCAGTGACATATCGCGTTTTACTGTTCAACCAATAGGGAATCTTTTAAAACAATATCACAATGTTGTAATTACATGGCATATACACTAACTATAGAACACTGGATCGAAATGGTTGACAGGAGTTATGATATTTCTAGGTGATTACCTTCTGGCAAGTTTGTTGACGGCTCTCTGTACATTCACCTTCTCCAGGACAGCCAAGTCACCACCGCGTTGCTGACATTCAGCACGAGCTTCATTCCATCCCCGTGTTTCATCGGGCATAAAGAAGCATGTGCCGTCGATATTGAGGTCACAGTCATTCTGAGTCGCGTATGCTAAATGGGTAACATAAATAGTACTGGCATTATTTATCGATACTAGTTTCTAGTAATAATATATTGAATAGACTACGCTCTTTCTCTGGCACTCCTGTTGTGGGTTAGGGTTCAATATGGCTAAACAGGCTGCATACAACTTTATATCTACTACTGGTACAAGAATAACGACATAAACTTAAATTGACCAAGTTCAGGTGGTAAAGTTTCACGTTACAAGAATGTGATTGGTAGATAAAAGCTTATCATAATAAAACGAAAATAAGGATGTACGTGATAGTCCGAAATGTGCTATCTGTGAATGTTTCTATCCAGAATCCGAAAGTTGCATTAAACTCACTGACATGCAAATCAGCGTGCAGGTGCTTATTACAAAAGCTCAGGCTACAGAACACGTATATAAACCTACCTAATATGATGCTTGTGAACAGCAAACATAGAAATGGTATCAGCTCCATAGCTATGAAAATTAAAGGTAATACATGGAAATAAAATCATAATTGGCTACGTCGTACGTTGTGGAAAAAACAAGCTGTGATATACTTCATTATTCACCCGCCAACTAACGTATATGACTTGTTGGCTTTGCACGGCGTGCCAGGTTGTCATAGTGATTATTTGGGAAAGAAACGACAGTATCTAACTGAGTATTTCGTAGGGAAATACCGTTATAACTAGAAATGAATCTTGAAAAAACAAAAACATGAAAATATTAATTAGAGAGCTACGTACCTACTGAAACTCGTCTGCGGATACCAGTGATAGACGTCTACTTTCGAACTGTTTTTATAGTGTGTGGTAAATAAAAAAAACTGAAAAGAACACTAATCAGTTTCACATTATATTCAACTTAAAGTCTGCTTCAAATATACCGATTATGAAAAAATTGGTAAGTAGTTTGTCAGTAAACAATGTGTCGGCGGATGGATACAGTAGAATACACTGCACTCAACACATTAAATTAATGTATATAACACATGTACATATACATTATCCAATATTAACACTGTGTAATGTGTAATTACAATCATTAATATAATCAGATAAGGCAAACCTAATGTGAATACCCAGGGTAAAGTGAGTTAACGACCGACCTGGTTATAGTAGAAATATAAACATATGTAGTAACTCTGATCGTCTATCTTGATTAAAAACGCTTTTCAGTGATAAGTATATTTTAACCCGGAATAGGAAATTAAATTAACAGTATAAAATGTTCAATATTTGTTTAAATATATTTTGGCAATATGTATATTATAATTTACATTTTTCATTTCAGAATTCCAATGGACAACTTTTCGTTGTTAGACGGTACGGTGTACACTGGAATTGGAAACCGACAACGTTCTAACCATTTGTTATTTTGAATTATATAGAAGCACATCTAACTAAACGTGAGATCGTGGATTATCATGTCGGCGATCCAATGACTTTGTAATAACAATTATCTTTACAAAGAGCATTGTCTGCGACCCTTTTCCGGTATTAGGCGGCGAATGATAACTGGTTGGTTTTTTAAACAAACTCTAATGCAATGAATCAATTCAAACATTATTTATTCTCAGTTTACAGAATATGATAAATAAAAATAAATGCAAAGAACGTGACTACGTATGAACCCGTACGCGTTTTACATTTTAATCCACTCTTACTCTATACATCTACTTCAAATGTACCGATTCTGACTAATAATGGTATTTTGTTTGTACGTAAACAATTATGCTTATGTGGGTGTGGGCTGTAAGCTGAATTCAACGCATTATATTAATGGACAAACCACATGTACACTGTGGAAATACACTCATTAATTTAATGAGCTAAGGCAAACCAAAAGTGAATACCCAGGGTAAAGTTAGTTGATGATTGGCCTGGTTAAAGAGGAACAACTCAACTCAACTCGTATATTTTGATTATAACAAAATGGATGAAATGTCGAGTACAAATTCTCACGTATCCAATCGTAAATAAAACTTCAAATGCATTCGTATAAGGTGGTCTTTGTTATTATAAAAGTGTAAGGTTTGTAACGTTGTTTGATGCTATTTTTTCAAAACGCAGTTGGTGTATATTCCAATGATATAAACCAATATGCATTACGTGTGACGTCGATGGAAATAAGGTGTTTCATAGTGTTGTCGGGCAGGATATAATAATGGAATATTGATGTATAATATTTTATATTATCTTATGAAATTATTAACCATTTTGTTGTTAGAAGGTATGTACATTGGAATGGCGAAAAAAATGGAACAGTCTATCATTTGTTGAAATAGTGGGACTTTCAATATAAGTATATCTAATCTAATATTAGACTATAGACCATCTTTGTGTAGACGACCCGAGAACCTTTCATGAGCAGGAAGTTTCACAGAGAACCAATAAAACCGTAAATTCGGCTGCATATTTATTGTATTCAGCATGTTGTTATTCTCAGTAATTAGATGGCAAGATATGTGAAAACAAAGTAACATTTATGTATCAAAGTTTTAATAAAACAATCGACTAATTCTTATGTGCCACCAGAACAATGATCTGTATGTAATGTTCTCCATGGTAGTACACACCATGCATACAACTCCGTTGAAATGCCGAAGTAGGTCTGGGTGGTGCGCATTGTAGTCCTTTTTGTTATAGGCTATTATGCTATGTTCTGATCAAGCCTATATAGGATTTCCCTAGACTAGTTCATAATTCCACAATGGACCTATAATCTCTCCAAAGTATAGGTGACTTTACGTCCACTGCGAGATATCGCATATTGCGTGACAGGCGCAGACCGAACGTCTGCTGCAAAAATCAAGCCTTTTGATTTTGAAGCGGCGAGGTTCTCATCTGCGGAAGCACGGGAATTAAGATTTAAGGTCTCACACCACTAATTAGAACTCCATAGTCGACAATGTTAACGTTTGGGTGAATTTCCCCACGAAAAAGAGTTACAAAGATCAAATTATTGTTTTAATTTTTTGAAACCACATGTATGTAATAGAATTCTTGCCAGTAAAACACGTTTTGGCCAGCTCAAACTCCTACTAAATGGATGTAAACAAAACATACAGATTTGTCAGTCTTTCTAATTTCAATATTCTAAGAAACGCACCCAGTTTGGAAGTGTCTAATGGCGAGTTGCCCAGATCCACAGGTCACTGATACTTGTCAATTAACAAAGCTACACACACATGTCTGACAAAATTGGAGTACGCCCTCATACATCGCGGTTCAGATTAAACGCGGTGATAGAAAATCCATTGGCTAACAATAACCATAAGATGTGATAGACTAATTAGTGGCCTGAGACCTTAAACGACGAGGAAAACCGCACGCTGAAACCCAGAGGCTCATGAGTTAGCGATTGTCTGTAAGCAACGACATGCCATGGCTGTTTTTAGGGCCCAATTTCGAAAAGCTGATCTTTGAAAATGGGAAAATTGTATTGAAATAACTTTACTTCATAATCCAATGTGTATAGTACATTAAAGGGCGGTGGTCGTCGCACCGTGTCCTGTTCGATATTGGACTCATAGCGACGTATACAACGCGTGTAAAATACATTGTTTATTTACATGAAATTTGAACACGCTCTGCGCGACGACCACCGCTCTTTAAAACGCGTAGAAATATTCCAAAAAAAATTCGCGTTTGTCCCACGCGATGTTTTGTTGCTATGATCTTTGTTTGTCCTGGTTATTCATTCATTTTCACGCACAACGCGGGATCTCACAGTGAACGGAAAATGGGCTATTGACATGCCAGAAAAAAAATCTACAGAAAACGTTGATCGCGTTACTGCAAATTACAAAGTAGTTTTTATTGACATAGCTCTTACACCTTCATGCCACTGTTCGTAGCTCAAGGCATCGCATGACAGACACTTGGTAAAAGCAGTACTGTTCAAACAAACCAGAGGCGTTTTTGTACAGCATATACATCAAGAACATGTGATTTTTAATAGAACTAGCATTATATGTAAGTGAAAATTTTTCGTTTCTATGGACGAAAGCAGCCACTTGATCACGTGACCCTTAAGTTGTTGACTCGCTTAAGAAAACGATCAAGAACGTCAGAAATACTGGACGTACGAACATGACAAAAACATAACGAAAATATGTTGTGTAACTAGACTTATATGATCTCTTTCCCCAAAAGTGAAAACAAAAAAACTAGTGCACCACAAGTTATAGCGGAAAACTGTATTTGCCACCAAAAACTCGAGTGCGGGGATATTATAGACTTAAATTTACTGTGACAGCAAACTGTATACATGTGTCATACTTTTGAGGTACACCTAATTCTTTTGACGAAAAGCAGTACTTGGCGAATTGTAAAAGGAACTATGCCATTCTTGCCGAACGGAATATGTTAAAAAAAAGACGTAGAACTAAATATACGCGTTGCAAAAAAAATAAAAAAATCGGTAAGACGCCCAAGAACTAATTCATTTTTAAGTTTATAGAGCGTCCAGGACTACATTCATTCACAAATGTCATGTTTTAGCTTTTTTACCACTTGGTGGCGCATGTCAGTCCAAGCATCAGTGCGGTGTGCAATGAGAGTTTTTATGTCATAGCTGATATGGCAAACCAAGGCAATCAGAATATATTGACTCGTAAGTAGTACAGCGTTTTTTCCAGTCAAGCATACTTTTTAGATAGATTTACTAGCGTTTGTGTTTCAGTATTTGTCAGAGCGTTATACAAGATAGGTAACCTCAACTTATTACTGATATGTTAAATTGACAAGCATCAACTCATACATAATTACTATGACATACTGGGTTAATATGATGAATATTTTGGGAAGTACTAATTTAAAATATTAATTGTTGATCTATAGTATTTAATAAAGAAATATCTTCTTACCAGTGCATCTTTTTTAAATCTTAGATTTGACTAATTAAAAAAATATGGTCAATATATCTTGGTTAATATAATATGTTTGTATTGTATCAATATAAACAAATAATTATTTGAATTGGCAAGAAATCGTTGACGAAAATAATTAAAAAAAATGCATTGGAAAATATTTAATAAACTTTAAATTAGACTGTTTCTTTCAAGAATGCCGATTAATGTTGCAAATCTGGAAGCCGGATGGGAAGTTTCTGATTCGGTAATGCTGGGTTTATCGTAGGAGATTGTTTACTGCCGTTTTAACGTTCAAACAAGAAAATGACCAAAATATTGTGTTAGTTTTTTGTTATGAAATACAATTCCCATTATTCATATTCATGAATAATATTCCCATCATCAATACCTCGTTGTTAAGTTTCTAATACCACGTCAATCGTCATTATATCAATTAGAACTAGTCGATTGCACCTCAAATCTAAGCTTTATTTGACGTTTGAAGTGACATCCATGTGTGACATTCATCGTACAGGCTCAGTTATGGATATTAAGTTAATGTATTTGGAATATTCCGTGAAATTACATTAACAGACTTAAAGTTCATAAATTATAAGGGAGACACATCCTACATTTCCCCCAAGCTGATGGCCTAGATGATATTTTGAATGTAACGTTGAAAATTATTTTTGAATTTTGTAAACGTTTTCGTGTTTTTGGATTTGAAATGGGGGTTCTTATATGGTCTGGGCCATTTTTATGTTCATTTTTAATATAGGCGGTTTACAATCCTACTAAATAGTTATGCAGAAGTTCAGAAACATGTGTCATAGTTGTGAATCAGGAGAATAATTACTATATTGGACAATTTGTAATGACAATCCAAGGAAAAGGATACACGTGTATACAAGTTGAAGGGCATACATATTTAAACCAAATGCAAAATAACACTAGCATTGTCGTTGATGCAAGAGTGACACGTAAATCCATATCATTTGATATGTCAGCGTGTAACGGAGAAACGAGATATTCAGATTACAATACAAAATGAATATTTGCTGCCCATTAGTATGGTTGGCTTGCATTTTAACATTTTTATGTTAGTCCCAAACCGATAATTCATCACCAACACTTCTTTTCTACGCCACGACTTAATATTATGCACGCAGATACACATACCAGCAAAAATCTGGTACGTGGCGCACTTTAAAAAAGTCGTAAAACTAATATGTAATTATTCTGGCGAACTGGGGTCAGTAGACAACAAACCGCCAGCGACTGCACACGCATCCCAAGTTGATTTTTTCGTTCGGCAGACTTGTTTGAGAATTTTGGAAAGTCGTTACAACTTGAACGTTTGTAATTTAGGATGCATACATCTTATCTTTAATTACGGTAAAGGTCAGCATATCATGATGATCACCAAATACGTTCAATTACTAGACAGAAATATATCAACTTGGCCCACGTGTGAAACATACAACAGTGGAGTTCATTTCACCAGAAGATAATAAATCTTTCTGAACCGGAACTAGTATGTTCGTAGTTAACGAGTACGTGCTTATGCACCGATAGACTGATGGTATAGATTTGATTCCATCCTCATGGAAATTTTCGGCAATATATTAATCACCGCGATTTTTCTCTGTCAATGTAATATCAATATAGCTTTAGACGAACTGATACCATTATATAAATAGAAACATATGTACTGAACGGTTATGACCTCATGATGTGTGTCTTCCCACGTACTAGACGTATAACTGAACTGTCCCATCCCAGGACAACCGAGTGATAATAAAATGAATTCACGTTCTGAATTGTGGTAGGTTCTGCAGTTCGGTGACATTTGGCGACAAATCTATCACAGTTAGCTTAAGGTAGCCGATTTATATCGATATTTAACTTAATCTTACATTAATCGAGACGAACTATGGATGCACCTTTTTCGAAAAAAAAACAAAATTGATAAGCACAGGATGATAATTACAGTACGAGAGATTTGATGGATTCTAATAAGAAAGGGTCAAACTAGGCTAATTTTACAGTTGACTTATTTAAGAATTATATTTTACCATGTTTTTTTCATTCATATGGTGACTGGCATTGTACGTTTTTCGTTAATCGGTTCATTCTCATTCTTTTCAACAGTTCTTTCTGGATAAATGACTGCTTTGAGACGGCAAATGTATCAGTGTGTATGTGTGTATACAAGTATCATATATTCCAAAGACAACATGTTTTATTAAGAAGGTAGATATTAAACCGTTAGGCCCGTGTTTTAAAACATATACTTAACATAAAACTTATTATAAACAATACTCTTTAACAATTTCAAGGTCTCCCCAAGGACACTTTATAGAAAAAATAAATTTAAACCATAATAGTACTAAATTATTAAGCATAATTAGGTTACATTGTTATATACTAATGTTAGAGTGGCGTTAAACAACGAGTTTCTACGTCCTTTTTTATTCATTCATTATGGAACTTTTTATCATGCAACCATTGCAATACTGATAATCATGTAATACTAGGAGTTACAGGACACATCGTTAAATTTTGAATCGCACGCACAAAACCAAAGTATTTGTTTGGTGTCGTAAAATGTGACCGGTCACGTCGAATGACGTGGTGGGTGACCATTACGGCAGTGCTCAACCTTGGGAGCAGGCGACGTAGGCGGCATTGCTAAGGAACCATTTTTTTATAACGTAATTTGGGATGGCCATCCCGAACACTGCAGTATAAAAAAGCTCAGTCTTGTAATTTCCATATTCATTAGTGCCTAGTTGGCAATACCAAATGCAGTGATTCAGTCGTCTTTACGTTCATAGGCATAACATCTTTGTTTAGCACATTTTCGTAGAATTTACCATTTGGGTGAAAATGAACTGTTGACTTTGATGTTGTAACCCCGCGTGTGTACTAGATACCGATGTGAAATGATGAACTCAATTCAATCCAATCTATTGCTTATTATCTGCCTTCTGTTGCGTATAGATGTAGCGACCGCCAGTGAAGTCAATGTACGGTAAGTTGTGTTGTACAATACTAATTGGATGACGGCGTACATGAAGTATATATCGAGCATATGGAGTTTTGCCATAAGGATTCTTATGATCGATGTTTCAAAGTAATTACCACTGTGACTGAATTAAGATCCAATTGATCACGCGGTTTTAGTGCTTTCTGAATCATGACTCGATATTTATTATTTATGTACGAATACGTTCGGTAAATTCAAGTGTCATTATTCCATATTTATTAACTGTAAATAGTATCTTTGTCTTTTATTTTCATGTGTTTGAACACACGAATGTTCACGATGAAAATTACTCCGCATATGTAATGTATTATTATCTTACATAAATTTAACTTGCGAGGTGGCATTATGCGTTCAAGTGGGTGCTTGGTACTAAAATAACGAGCTTCGCAGACCGAATATGCACGTTTGCGGTGTTAATTGTGGCGTTATAGTCAGTAGTGCTGTTAACTTGATTCAAGTACTTCCAGTTGAAACAATATTGCACAATATTGCAGTCGTCAGTGTTTGTACTTTATTAGAGGTAGCCGATGCAACAAGCTCTAGTGTGTGGCCATGAAATAACTGTCGCAGCAAAACAGTTAATTCATGCACACACTAAGTGGACATATGTTATTACGTAACCGGAATCTCCCACACCACGTGTGCAATTGTATCATCATTATTTGTTCTATTTCTTGTTCTGCATGTGCCCCTCTCTTACGATGACGTGTTACACATCTAGAAATCATGCTCATTTACTATTACATAACGGACATCAATCATATATCGTTAACAAGAAAAAGTAACATGTGTGGTTCCGTCTACCTCCATACTCCTGATTGAAGGTTAAGCTACTACAGGTTTCTATTTTCTAGATAAATCTATTCAGGAAATTAAATAATAATATAATTCCTTCGAATCTTCAATTTTTAACCCAATTAGAATCAATGAATTATCTACCCCATCAACCACTTGATAATTCGATCCAGTAATGTTACCAATGCAAGGCTATATATATATATGCCACATTACATTCAGATCTCGTCATGGATCGTCTAACTTTGCGGGAGTTCACTTTCCGATCGTCGCTAGCCAGACATCAGTGAGATAACTCGAGGCGAAATACCCCGTATAACATTTATTGTACACTTCTTAAAGTTTATGTACGTCTTCTACTTGACTTGCCGATACCAAGTCAACATTCCCACGGATTTACTTTCAACGTCGTTAAACCAACCCCGTCTCGCATAGGTTCTGTTCGGAAATGTATGTGAGTGTGTTATTAAAATCGCGATAGGATTACGACATAAAACGTATGCCGCACCTAAAATCTAAGACCTGATGGACTTTCACACTATTGAAGTGTTTGCGAAGATGGTGTGAAAATAATGACGATTTTTATGAACTATCTGCAGTGTCAAACACATTGATTTCTGATTTCCGTTTGACGTACATTAGAAATTAGATCAAATGATTTTATTGACATATTAAACGTAGTACCCGCGAATCATAAATTTATTACTGAACGAACAAATCATAAATTGTTTAACCGAGTTGCACTTTTAACCAGATTTCGCTATTATCGTATTTCCTGGCTTCAATACTTTCTTTACTAAGTTCGTAGAAGTACATGGACGTATTCCCATGTATATTTACGGTATACACATGTTTGCAGTTTGAGGAGCGTGCGGGGGTAGGAGTGGTTCAAAATAATGAATGTCATCCACCATGGACGAATAAACCTTCGTCTTTCGAGTCCGCTACGCCCGTCTGCCACATTTGTTGTAGGGTAGATTAGGTGACAGTCTAGATAGGGTGATGGGATATATATAGTTTTATTAATATGTATTATGCGATTATTTATACAAAGTTCTAATCCATGTTTGGAGTTTGCAGGAGTTAAGAATATGTTGAGTACATTTGTTTCATGACATATTCGACTTTTGCATACGAGATGCGTTAGTCACAATTCAATTGATTTATATATATATATATATATATATATATATATATATATATATATATATATGAAGGTAGTCGATTATTCCAGGTGGTAGTGCTCGATACTAAACGATGAGTTTGTAGAGCAGATTTACATACGTGGACAGAGAAATTAATTAATTTCTCTGTCCACGTATATATATATATATATATATATATATATATATATATATATATATATATATATATATATATATATATATATATATTTATTTATATATATTATATTTACATATATATGTAAATATAATATATATAAATAAATCAATAGACCATTTTCCGTTCACTGCGAGTATCACGCGTTATGCGTGAAATCGAACGTAAAAACAGGACAAACAAAGGTCATAGCGTCGTATCGCGTCAAACATCGCGTGGGATTCGACAACGCGAAAGTATTTCGGGGACATTTCCATGCTTAATAATGTGCTGTCCACATTTGATGAAGGCAATTTCATTAAGTAAGGGTATTCGGAAGCATATTCCTCTGTCGAAGATCGGCCGGTCAATGTAAGCTGCGAAATAAAGAAATTCTAATTCAAAATCAAATCGTTCGATTTTTGCGGCAGACGTTCGACGCGCGTCTTTCATGCATCTCGCGAGATCTCGCAATTGTTCGGAAAATCACCTATTGAATTTTGACTAACGCATCTCGTATTTTGACATTTCGAATTCAGGGATTGCTAATGTCGGTATCTTCCAAATGATCGTAATTGACTGTTTTTGAGAATTTTATTGTGACGGGACGTGACAGTTGAACTAACAACATATATATCAAGGTGGATTTGTTATACACTACGCAACCTGAAAAGATCGTTCCATTCTTAATACTTACTAATAATTACAAAATATAACCAAATTACTCAAAACACAAAATGTGAGTTTATTTATAAGTTGCAAATTTAAATACATAATAACAAACCAATGTTCATAATCTCCATGTAATCTTTAAAATGTGTTTAAAGTTTTGTGCAATATTCCTAAGTTGTTACACAAATAAATGGTAACAATATACATCGTGTGGAACATCGCCTTAATCTCAGTTGTGTGATTGAGGGACCCCCGCATCGCTAAAGGAGGTGGGTGCAAGTCTGGTGATAAAATTTTACTACACCCTAACAATTTAAAGACTCACCAAAGTAATAACATCTGGAACTGTTGGTGAAATAAAGTAATCATTTTTTTTTATTCTGGGTTACCCATAGTTCATTGGATTATGAGACAGTTTTTCTAGTTTAAAATCCCGAAGTAACAGAGCAGATTCTAGATAATCTGTACCAAAACGTAAAACCTTCTTGTATAAATGTACATACATTCCCATTCGGATGTGATTTAATGCCCTATACATAAGTCTAATTCAATTGTTTATTTATACGTAGTAAATGTTAAATGTACAATCATATATTATGTATTTAATAGTTGTCAGTATTAGTGCGTACTGCACTGTTCGGCAAGATACAAACACTGTTTCAGTTTATGAATATAATTGGCGCATTGCGGGAATGTTCAGTTACTAGTGCTGACACGCTTTCCTCGCACAGACATGCACATACCAAATATGTACAAATAACACGCTGTTTTCTCAAACATACCGCACAGTATGCACGAAAGCAGCACGGTGACCCCGTACTGCCTACATGAATAGTAACCATTTATTAATTATCTTTTTGCTGTTTTTAGTAATAAGTTAATGAGAGATTATATCCCAAAATGCAACTAGCAATTTTAATTGCTTTCGGTGTTTCATTTTAATCATATTTTATACCAGGAGTTTCGTGAGCACCAGAACCTTGTAAAACGTTTTGTTAAAATGTCATATTTAATAGTTAAATTTAGTGTAGAAAATCACTCAAATTATCAAAGTATTTCTTCGAAAGTTCTGTAATTAATATTTCAATATTGTTTCAGCCATTTTATTATGAACGTTTGCACAATTTACACTGCAATTATAATAGGTGTTTTATAGTTGGCACATGAATCAAACGCTCTATTATATACAAATTTCTCTAAATACTTTTCACTTGTGACAGAGCTCTGAATAGTGTGAAGCCTCAACTGCCTAATTATTGAAAGCACACGCACAATGTTATGGCTTAGGGTTTCCATAAATAACATTTAATATTCAACGTACCATAACAGAATGACCAAAGTGTTAATAACACGTGCTCTCTGAATCGTTCATCCGCATAGATTATACAGATGTATTTGTTTGACATATTGTCAAATATAATATACAGTATATGGCGATCTATAAAAAGGTTTAATTATATTATACAATGAGAATACAATTTGCTTGAAATTTAGTGAATTCAAAAACAGATTTAATCGGACTATTGTTTGTTTCTATTCTTTATATAAATTTATGATAAGAAATGAGGTTGAACGTCGTAAACCAAAAAGGCAAATATTTTTTGTTATGACTGGAGCATTCCAGTGATACTGACACTGCTATAATGATAATGTCAAGGGAAAACATAAATACTGAAAAGTGTATTGTATTTGCTTACAAATAACACGTCTGCAGAGTACCTATTATATATATATATATTTCTTTTGCAGAGAACTCAGTGAGGTACAAGAACGACACAAACGAGCAGAAGGTGAGAATGTAACGTTTTGTACTCAATCTGTGTACGACAGAGTGCGAAACATACCGACTTATAAAACATTATTGCTTGCTCCGGGAGGCAAACCCCTAAGTGAAAAAGTAGTAAACTAAATCCATATTTCATTCAATACATTCATACCCGCAATGTCAAACACTGTAATTCTTGTACGCTCCGTGTAAAGTACATTAATATTTGCTCACATTCTTTCAGTAACAGATACGAGTTGGTACCATCCTCATTGTTTTCATAGTGATAGCGCGATATTGCTAAAACCATAAGCTCGATAAAGAAAATCATACTCTGTTGTTCTATTTATGTGTACAGATAAGTATATATGCGATAAGGTTTTATTCTATTTTACTCGACGTAATAAAAGCTTTTGGTAGTAGTCAATGACGGCGGTTAACCTATATGTGGCTTTAACTTGAGCCGAAGCAGCCATATGAATATAAACACAGAGTATGCATAATAACTATACACTGTGCAGATGTTCTGGAGTTTAACATTTAAGCGTAGAATTTTCACTTTTAGTTATAACGTAATAACTATTTATCGGTCACAAATTTCTCTATGTCGGCTCGTGAATGGAATGTCAATAATAATCTATTGCCTGATGGCGCCAATTACACATTGATGTTTAAAAATCACCCACATTATTTTCATTAAAGAGTACACCAGAGGTCATGTCACATATTCTTTAAGAGATAGACACGCGACAATGTTTCAATAAACAAACATTGACCCTCTTCCAAACACGATCTCAATGACAAGTCCCATGTGAAGCAATAAAGATGATGATGTAATAAAAATGACATCACGTGTTTCTGCACGATGACAAAAATAACACTTAGATGTGGGAGACTGGCATTATAAAAAAGTATTTAACTTATTTTTTCGTTATAAAAAGAGGACTCCTTCAACGTCATAGGGTCAAATGGTGTATGTGGGAGGGGTTACAATGGTGTTTAATATCAGCATAGATAAACATGTATTCACTCGGTCATAGTACTTTATAGTTTTATGAGACAATAAACCATGCACTGTCGCTTTTTACCGACCGATTTAACGAATGTGGGTCAGCCGTTGAATCAGAATATACGAGTTGAAGCAGTGCTATATGCTGTAGTGAGACGAAAACGTACGTCAGATTAATCTCCTGCAAAAATATCTGCAATTGGGTATTATATTTTTTCTAAGATCTAACATTATCTCGTGAAAAGTCGTTACATAGTTTGTTTTGTTGTTATTCAGAATTAAATTGAAATTATGTTATAAATACTACAGCTTCCCCATTAACCGAATCACGTTTTTTAGCTGTTCCATTTGTGATTACACCAGTACTAGTTAAGGTGTATGTCTGAAAATTGTTGTGGAGCAGCGACTTATCATTGATTACGCAAGTTACTTTTTATTTATTTCATAAGTATTTCATAACTCGTAAAAATGCAACTGGAAATACGCCAATTATTCAATGAGTGTACAATATAGAGTTTGTTACATAATAACATTCTTTCAAAGATTTCGTTTGTGTCGAGACAAAAATATTGGTTTAAATGATACGCATGAAAATGAAGTTTGTAATTTCAGTGATGCGAGTCGATGATACGTAAACATAAGCGCATAAATAGTATCTAAACATATTTATTTAAAAGTAATTGTGGACACAATCAACAATTCGACATATCAGACATGTTTTGACGTCAAGCACTCGAATAGTAATTCAAACACAGTAACATTTCAAGACTCGTGATTAAAATAAATAGGACAGTGTGAACCCAAGTACCTCATATATCACTCCCATCAACATACATTGACGAGGGCTTGTTGTTGCTACAACTACACCTCAATATAAAACTGTAAATATATACTATTATTGTTAATTATTGTGCATCGAGTGATGTCATTGACGTTTTAGACCGGCCATCTAATGGACACGCAATATATATGTAATTCATAACTGTTAAAATATAAGCAAATTTATGCAATACATGCGATATATCTGCTAGAACTGACTCATTTCATTTAAATGCGGGTGTTGTTTGAGTAAGGTGTACACCCGAGTATAGTGAACATTAGAGTATAGTCCGGGCGTTCTATTTCGCCAATAACTGAGGCACTTATAAGTGATTACCATATATCAAAAATGATAAAATATTTAACCCAAACTGTTTCTAATCACCAATTAGTTTGTGCTTCGTATATATTTCCGGTGTTTTCATATCAAGCACGTTCGATTTCTAGTTTACGAAGTACTATTCCTGACTCTTCTAGGCAATGTTAGTTTTTGATAGGCGAAAAACATATATGGTATATCTCTGTTCTTCTTTTCACAAAATTTAATGAAAAATAGCTCACCGGGGAACAAAATGAAAGAAAATCAAAATGAATTGCGTTTTGACATTTAGACTTGTAATTCTATATATTTAATTCATTGTCAATAGACAATATCATTATTATTTTGTGACACAATTATGTTGTTTTCTGGAAAACAAATATGAATCAGGAATTGTGAATTGAAATGTTTCTTACACAATTTATGAAACGTGAAGCTGTGTACATTGATGCCAATACACCTGGTCACCAATGTACTTTAAAATAGATAATTCAAGTTAAAATATGCAAGTGTTAAATGTCTGGAATTATGTGCAATTTCAGAAGACAAGCTGTGCCCGTCACTCCCAAGTCCAAGAAATGGTGAGCTAATATGCAGTCAACGAGGAGACATATCTGTGTAAGAAAACAATACATTATTATGATTAAACCCGTCATATGTTCATTTAATTTTTTTTCAAATGTTCAATATATAAAACTACGACTATATTATAAATATTACTACAAAATAATTGCTTATTTTGATACATGTGTATACCTCCATCAATGCTCCCCTCACCGTGAAATGTACATTATGTTCACAGAAGCTGTAGAAGCAATTGTGATAGTGGCTTTGTTGCGCCTTATGGTTTTGCTGATGCCAGGTACCACTGTACACTTGACGTTGGCTCCTGGGACCCACATGACGAGATTGTGGACTGTTATGGTCAGTTTACTTTTTTCTATTGGTAGAACATACGACACGACAGGCGAATACATATTCACGTGTGCCTGCATGTTATAGTGTGAGTGTGTATCACATTACAACATATGTGGAACAACACATATGCAAATGCACCAATCATCATGCATTTCTTCCATCGCAGGGAACCAAACAATCAACATGTAGAACAAGACAATCCGTGTTCTCATTCTTAAACAAGCTCCGATTGGTCAACTGATGAGACCGAGTAGTGTTTGTATCATTATTGATGCACGTGGTATGACATATTATGGCAAACAGTGCTACTAGACTATTAGTAGAACTTAGTAGAAATCAAAATGTTAAACTCAATATGATTACGTCATTCTAGTCAGTCATATCAGTCATATCAAATACGATAACAGACAAATAAAACGCCAAAAAACTAATACAATTGTCGTCAAGTTTGAAAACATATCTATGACACATATTTCCAAATAGTCTAACTGCTAAACACTCACAGCTTGACCAGTTGTTCTTCATAACTAAAAATAATACAACGTTTTTACAAGATAAGAATATACAGTCCATCATTTTCTTGTAGAATGTAACGACGCACTTGGAGAAACAAGCGTGGCCAGCAGCGACAGTTTTGACTCGTCTACCAGTAGGCTCAGCCAGCCTGCCTCTAGTAGTCGTTTACATGGCTTCGGCTCATGGTGTCCGGAGACAAGTGACAATGAACCGTGGCTGTCTATTGACCTTGGCACATTTAAAGTTGTAACTGGCGTGGCAACGCAGGGAAGGAGCGATGGTGATGAGTGGGTCACGTCTTACAAGTTATCGTACAGCAATGACGGAAGATACTTCAGAGATTATAAAACAGACAGAGTGGTCAAAGTAAGCCTTCGATGCCTGGCATCCAATGATATTAATAACGTTCTAATGTCACATTTCATGTCTTAATAATTAAACTGCCGTCTGTTCGTTTATGTCATAATATATACATACCGATGTCATAATATAATTTGCTGCATAACTGTGTCAACTATCCAGTTATTATTGCGGATGATGAAATAACACGATTGTTCATGATACTGTCATATTATTGACCCCTAACACTAATGTTTGTATTATCAGTTGTTTCAGGGAAACCAGGACAGGTTTAGTGTAGAGAAACACGTTCTGGTAGAGTCGTTCATAGCTCGTTATGTCCGCATTCATCCACATACATGGGAGGGCAGTGCGTGTTTACGAGCAGAGTTGTACGGTTGTTATTACGGTGGGTGCATATGATGTAATAGTGCATCGATCAAAAAACTGCTTTCGTACTGTGGTAAAACCACTAAACCATCTATCGTTCATATTCAGCTACGATCACGAATTTCTGTGCACATCGAATGCTATATACCTCGTATGAACGTTTAATTTAACGATCGATATTAACAAGAGTTGTTTTCATTTAATGAAACTAACGTATCAACTATGATCTTTTTCCAGGATCTGTGAATTATTGTGAGTCCAATGATTGCCAAAACGGGGCTACGTGTGCCAATCATCCGCAAACTTTGTCATATCTTTGTGAATGTACACGAGGTTTCACCGGCAACTACTGTGATCAAGGTATACCACGTTATGTCTTTTAACCGTGTATTTTTCAATATAGTCTACTGTATTAACAACAGGTGTGGTATCGCAGTGAGAAGTGCTCGAACATTGTAAGATTCGCCACTTCGTATCTTTATCGTGTTTGCTAGAGACTGTAGTGTCCGTGGCCCGTGTATATCAAAATAATTGTGTGTTACCTATGTGTTGTATGTGAGAGAATAGTGACAACATGATTTGAAAAATTATGTTTGGTTAAGATTTACATCCGTTTCACAGATTGTAATATATACTTTTAACTCGTTTTATTCGTTTAGTGCCATTAATTCTATATTGTTTAATGTAATTTTGTAATTCACTGTAATTTATAAGTATACTGAAATAATGAATGATGCTAATAATAATTCCCGGAGTATAAATCAAAGCCATTATGCAAATATTCTTTACATTTCAGCAGTGCTAATGAGGATTGAATATGTAGACGAAAGGGGATTTCATTTAAAAAAAAAACTCTTTAAGACTAACTAATTATTTGTGTTATATCGTTCAATATCCACACAATGTTACACATTCAATATACCAATCAACACAACCTGTGCGACTTCTCTGCATTAATGAGCATGATATTTGTAACATGTAATGTTTGTAAATTTACAGTTGTTTGTGGCATGCCACCCGCTCCAGTTAACGGTTCATTCAGCTGTACAGTGGATAAAGATGGTTACTTGTGTTCATTACAATGTCTTCCGGGACTGAAAGTTCCATACGGCACAATGACGACTTACAGATGTGACTTCGACTCAATGTTATGGTCACCAGACCTACCGAATGCTCACGTTGTCTGCACAGGTGATGTCACTTTAAATGTTATATCCATTCGTTGTACCAAAATTGATTGACTGCTAAATTTATTTATTTATTGTTTTTTTTTTATTTATTTTATATATTACAGAGACCCCGACGCCAACGGTAGGCGTGTACGTCCCACAACAACTACGGTCAATGGAAGGAAGTATAACGAGTACGTGATAATGGTGATATCGCTATGTAATACGGGTTATGACAACACAGAACATAATATTCATTTTATAATGGTATAATTAACCACGCACGTGTACATGTACGGTGAATTGCGTTATATAACACAATACACTACAATGCATTGTATTCAGTATATTGATCTCTGAGCTTATGTACAGATAATTGAAAACGTACTCATTGACATAAATCATTATTTCATGAAACGAGTACTATTTTGTGTGTTGTTCAAAACAAAATCTTTTTTAAATTTTGAAATCAATTATCGAACAAAAAAGCTTTATTGCATTTTCTTAGTAATCTCCCAGTTGATATTAAATATTTTAATATCATGCAATTTCTTCAAAAAAATTGTGAATGCTGAAACAAAGCATACAGGGAACATACTAAAAGTTTGTCTCAAAACATCTTTTATCATTCATAGGTGACGGGTTTTGCTTCACATGGGGGCAGAACCACTACCGTACCTTTGACGGGCTCATCTACGATTTCCATGGATCGTGTTCATATCTATTACTCGGCGAATGCCAGACAAACAGGTTTAAGCTTCACATTCGCAACAAAGCGGAGTGTCACGATGTTCAATACTGTAAGAGGTCACTTACGTTGTACGTCAGCGACATGGAATATAATTTCAACTTTGGTGAGTTTGGATTCGCGATGACGAGAAACGAGGATAACGTACCGCTACCGGTGACAATGGATGGACTCCGCGTTGAGACAATCTCATATTACATAGTGATTAGCAGCGCACTCGGTTTCACACTGCGGTGGGACGGTAAAGAAGCAATATTTATCCAGGTTGATGGAAGCCTTCGAAACAAAACATGTGGACTGTGTGGCACATACAATGCTGATTCCAGTGACGATTTGACTGATATACGTGGTGATGTCGTGGATTCCGTATCACTGTTTGGTCGTTCTTATAAAATGAACGACGTCGATGGTAAGTCATATAATATGCGGTTTAAGGTAGAGACGCAGGTTCGTGGGCACTTGGAGTGACATTTTTTTTGCTTTTTATTATCCAAACAGTCATGACTTTAGATTGTTAAAATTTTGTAGAATTGTGAATAGTGGAACATACTAAAAAAAACGATTTAAAAATATAGATAACAGGTGCAAACATTCTCTCTTTTGAATACTTAGCAAGATTTAGCAAGGCTGTACATAAATAATAAAAAAAGAAACATGGTGAAAAAAAGAAATGACGAGATCTCCATATTATGCACTATATTTAACTTTTAACATAACTATAATAGGTTTAAATTTGGAACTGTTACAGCCATTTTAATTATATATGAGCATTAGCAAACTTCTTACTGAGTGAATTGTTATGCAAATTAGCAATTATCTCAGCTTTATTTTAGTGCACATCCCAGAATTTAAAAAAATAGCTCCTAGACGCTTTGACCTTTTGTTTTTAAATTTTAACAAATGATTGACAATGTGTTTATCTTCAAAACGTCGTCGGGCATTGTTTTTGGTTGAACAGTGTTACAACAATCGTACAGACAACTAGTCTGGGTGTTAACTCATGCATAACTCGAAGTAGTGAAATTTGAGCTGCTGCCCTGCAAAATTGACAACTGGTAAACAGTTTTCAAGACGGCACTTTCTTCATAGTAAACAGATGTACCCATACACCAATTTTGACAGGAAACAGAAGCATGGTTTAGAAGCTATTTTTTTTAAATCACTTTTGACCCAAAAAGCACATTTTTGTGCATATTTCAAACTACAGTTTCCATAAAAAATACTAACACAATTTTAAAATTCACACAATAAGCTTTCAGAAAATATATAGTTTTGTGGACAAGGGAGGTCATCTTGGTTTCCTAATTAACTAATTAAAATACCTGTCAGGTAAACAGCATCTCTACCTTAAATTGGTGTGTTAACCAATTATAAAAAAACAGTAGATCCCGAACTTCAATTAGCGATTGGCTGGAAATGATGCAATAAAAACCAAAATGAATTGTTATATATTAAAATATTTGTTACGAGCATAGATCATAAGTTGGGAATTTAAAAAATTCGATATCTTGTTTCCCATATATTTATTTTAACGCAGCATTCTTAGTAAAACTACGTACACGGTGTGCAGACACGCCGAGGTTAAATCGAGTGAGTCGTCACCTGCGCATGCGTCATATAGCCATAGCTTGTCATTGTTTACAAACAAGCGTCTGCCCATGAGCCTTTGCGTTTTTTTGCGTGTGTTGTTATCGTCGCAGGTGACGACCCTTCTGCTTTAACACGTTTATAAACGAGACTTCAATAATATATAGGTTGATGGTTTGTACCAATGCCAACAAAATAAAAAAAAAAACGTTTACAAGAAACTTTCACGTTTCAGATTCATGCGAGGACAGTAATCAACTATCTTACTGTCACATTTATCCTGGTCGTGTCGAGGATGCTGATGAATTATGCAAAGAACTGACAGAATCTAACTTTGCTGTATGTCATAGTGTAAGTATAGTATGTATTTGGAAAAAGCTGTGAACGTTTTTGATGAAATGTTATTAAACATTTACTCCAGCGCATTGAATCCGACGAAGTACTAGTATTGTATTTCAGAATTGTCGCCACAGCTTGACACTTATCGTTTGAATTGTGAAACATTCATTTCTGGGTAAGAAAAAAAAAGATCAAAGGCCAAGTTGAACGCTGTGTACTGGTGGTTTTCGACCGCTAGAGTATGGGTCAAGTTGCTTTCCACCGTAATTTATGCAGGAAAACTCAAATAATGGGTTAGCCGTGTATTATTTTTGCAGGCAGTGGACCCAACTCCATTTTATAATGCTTGTCGGGAGGACGTATGCAAATGCAACGCCTCCAGTGGCTGTGAATGCAGTAGTTACGAAGCATATGCCAGAGAATGTGCACGTAATAACGTCGTGGAAATGGAGTGGCGAAACCAGAGCAGATGTCGTAAGTTAGCTTTGTTGTTTGTTGTTGCAAAATCAACACATCTAGAGAACATTGTAGATTACATAATATTATATGATTTGAAAATGAAATTTGGAAATTATCATTTTGATTTTATTTTATGACAGCTGTTACTTGTCCTGGCACTATGATATATAAGCAGTGTGGTAGTTCCTGTCCTTCAACGTGCAAGAAAACATTCTACCAATGCCTTCATAACCATTGTATGGATGGGTGTCAGTGTCCCGATAACACCCTGCTTCATGGCGACACGTGCGTTGCACAAGAGCAATGTCCATGCCAATATTCTGGCAGAGAATACTCCACTGGATCGGAGATCCAGGCAGATGATGGGTGCAATACTTGGTAATCATTTGCTTTTCTATTATTTATTTGTCAAGTTCAAACCCCGGACAGGAACCGCCCTGGACAAGTAGTATGTGATTGATACTCCACGATTTAGTGTATTCTATACTAAAAATTAATCCTCTGTAGGCGACATATTAAAACTTGACAAATCTATTGTAAACATAAAGCCGATAAGTACACACACTTTTGAAAAAAATGTTTGCCTGTTTTTTAAAATCGATTAGTGATTCACCATCATATTGACAATCTACGTAATAATGTAGTTACAGCCGCACAGATATTAGTAATATTGATAAAGTTGAATTAGCTAAGCACTAACTCTAAATGTATCAGTTCGTCATTTCACAATGCTTGGTTTCATTAAACTTCCACTCTCCAATCTGGGGATTGTTTTATCCGATATCACAATAAATGAAACACTAAAATACAAATACGCCATTTATTTCTGATCAACAAGTTGTTTTCAAACATCATGATTTACTGCCCGGTTTATGTTACCCCGCGCTTTGATACACATTCATTGATGTTGAAACTTATTTCATCCTAAAATTCTGAATAATATAACCATTAAAATAGCAAATGAGAAAGTGATTTATACTACTTCGGTTATGTGACCCATTGTTCTAGCCGTTGGTTTATTTCTGTAAATATTTTGTAAACCGTTATTGTAAATCAAGGCGTTGCACCTTGGAGATGCAACGTCTGGAGTTCATCGCTGTACACTGGCAATTTTTCAATTGTTTCACTTTGTTCGTGGTACAAGTCTAAAACACTATTTCTAAAATGGGGGTTTACAGTTATAAACAATGTACTAAACTCTGCCCTAAGTAAATTAGGTTTATATCTGTAAATCCAAACTTGTTCGTGGTGTATTTTTTTATACATATATAAATTCCCAAATCTGCCTGATTACCTTTCAGTCGCTGTGAAGGTGGTACATGGACTTGTACTTCAGATATATGCACAGGTATGCCTCGCACACTATTTACTATAATAATAGCACTCTGACTTTTAAAGGGCAGTGCTCGTCGTATCGCACCCTGTTCGATATTGATATCATATCGACGTATACGACGCGTGTAAAAGACATTGTTTGTTTACATTGAATTCGAACATGCCACGCCTTTTAATGTAATACGAACAGTAATAAATATTGTTTTGTTTTAATTAATTAAATAATTATTTAATAATTAACCAATGTTAAATATATGTGTTTAATTTTGATGTGCTAACTTTAAGATATTGATTGCACTGTTGGATTGCTTATACATTGATTTTCATCTAGCTTATATTGTTGTTTTCTGTGATTGTAGGAACGTGTTCAGTTATTGGGGGCGTTCATTACCAAACATTCGACGGCCGTCGTTACAACTTCGTTGGTGAGTGCACATATGTATTAGCGACACACAGACACCGCGGACTGGCTTTCTTTAGCATCAGTATGGAGAATCATCACTGCAGTCGCATGAGCCATTCTGTTGGCGGCACGTGTACAAGGTAAAATACCACTTATGACTTTATATGATGTACTATATTTAATATATATTGTTTGTACGTTTGTTTTCACAAGTGGGTTGGTTTAGGATGAAAATTAACTTATAAATGAATTTTTAGGTCGTTGATTATCACGTATGATAACTCACATATTAAACTGACAAAAAATATGGTTGTGGTAGTTCATGGCGAAGAACTGGACAATATTGATTTACCGTTCGAAGTCCCCGGCATCTACATAGAGCAAATCTCGGACGAATTCCAACAGGTGAGCATTATTGCTGTTTGGTTATTGCGCACGTACAATCGACGAATTGTGGCCAAATATCAACATATCAACTATGAAAATCACGCATGCTTTGTCTCTTGACAATTTGCAATGATTATGAACTTCACAAAATGATTATTGATGTCATTGCCATTTAAGTTAATACACATTATTTGACATATTTATGTCAAGCTTCGACGCATGGAGTAGAACAATTTCTAGTTGATTATATATATTTTTTAAACATTAATCATGGCATTTCTCCCATGAAGGCTAAGTGGGCTAAACAGTGTACCAAAAGTCGTAAACAAATACAAATCCCTACACTCGTTTAAAATATGTTGATAATATAGGTCCATTTATGTATGTATGCTTGAACGCTTTATATCATACAAACGGACACTGGCATAATGGCCGAAATTGTCATCTGACTGTAAGGCCGTCGCTGATTGGCTGCTGAGCTGGAATGACAATTTTTGGTTTCAAATACCCCAGGAAAGTGTTCTATGTTCTTCGTGTAATTAGGTGTTCGTATTTAAGCGATTTTTCCACACAATAACGACGAATTCGACCGAATTTTGTTATCGGCTGGCTTAATATTATCCCATTGGATCGTATTTCTGTGAAAGATTGGTGTTTTTGTCCAGATGTGCAGGAATCTGAAAAACGCGATTCACAACTTGTCTCTTATTTAGTTTTATGCTGCATTCAAGATGGCGGCCGCCATATAGTAAATACCGTATATATTTTATTATCACGTGTGCGCCAGCTGACTCTGACTACATTATAGTACTTTAAACCGTCAGAACGAGGTTGTTAAATTATGTATTAATGTTAAAGAGATGGCCACTTCTGATAAGATAACATCATTATAATTTTATATTACTTAGAAAAATAAATTGGGACAGATAACAGATGTTATATTTTTATTTGCCCATTTCATGGTCAAAATGGAATATGAATGAGAAGACGTAATCTTTAATACTGTTGCGTGCTACTGCATACTGATAAATACATTGGCTATGGTTTATCATTATGGTTTAACAGAAAACGTTGTTCGTGTAGCACACATTTGAATATTATGATCTGATCTGATTTGATCTAGCTAACACAACATTTTTAATTTATGATAAATCATAATCCGGTATACAGTATCGACAAAAAATACATATTTTGTTGTCCATGTTACAAATTTTGCGCATGATGAGCAATATATTTCAGTTTCAGTAAAGAAATCAAAGTTCTTGTAATTTGCAATATTCTCATTGTAAATGCCTGCCCAAAAGAAGCGTAAATCTCGACTTTTCTGTGGTGTTCAATTATAATATATGCATATCTCGCTATAGATGAACGTGTTTTATTTTTTAGGTCACTCTCGATGTCGGCGTTGTTGTGCTATGGAATGGCGGTTCGCAGATCTATATAGATATGCCACCCGACTTGTTTAATCAAACCTGTGGCTTGTGTGGCACATTTGACAAAAACCAAGAAGTGAGTAGTTTCAGTATAGATAATTACTTCACTTGACACAATATTCATCGCAATGTCGTGATATGAACGTCGCATATTTGTATAAAATGACCCGTATCTTGCGTTTTGCTTCTCTGTCGCTTTTATAGAATGATTTTTGGACTCTAGAGGGAGACATTGAAAAACAGCCTGGTGTGTTTGCGGAGAAGTGGACCTTTTTGAGTACTTGTGCGAACCCAGCACCCGTGATTACATATAATCCTTGCGATGTTTACACCCAGCGCAGGGAACAGGCGCACACCATCTGCCAGAAACTAAGGGAAGCGCCGTTTACAGGTACAACTATGATGTCCAATATACTCTTTAAAATTACAGCAACACTTTTTCATTGTGAGAATTATCACAGGATTATCTAAATAACCTTAACTTCTGTTATATTACCGATAGGCTGCCATGCTACCGTAGATGTCGAATCATATTTTTTCATTTGTACGTATGATCTTTGTAACGGTGGTGATGTTGGAATGACGGAACTATTCTGTAATGTCGCCGCAAGCTATTCCATGGAGTGTTCAAACAGAGGTCACGTGCTTATTTGGAAAGACGTTGTGCCTGAATGCGGTAAGTGCACAAGACTATGACACACGTATGTATTCCGATCTATTAAACCCCCCAAAATAAATAACACTGTCCAAATAAAACTAACATCGTGTTTATATCGGCCGGGGCCATGTCTGATATAGGATGTCAATTTCTGACGAAATGAGCTGCTACGTTTTGGTTCTTCGTAAACCGGTCGGTACTAAATTTGACACTGTTTCCAATTACAGGAACATCTTGTGAAATTAATAAAGTTTACCAGGAATGTGGGCCATCGTGTCAAACGTCATGTCCGGCTATATTGACTGAGAGAACGTGCGAAGATCGCTGCATACCCGGATGTAGTTGTCCCCCTGGTTTGGTGTATAATTACGATGGTAGCTGTTTGACGGTAGAAGAATGCCCGTGTATGTATAATGATAGGCTATATGCACCTGGCCAAACCATACAGCCAGTATGCCAACCATGGTAAGAAGAGAACAGTGTTCGTATTTTAATGTGTGCACTTATTGGCTCTTTTCATGTTAAACGTTAGACATTTACTGATAATGTACAGTTTACGTCATACTATTTGAAGACCGTCTTTGTGCACATTGCATGTGACCCTTCTCAAACACAGCACGGTGCTAAGATTGTGGTGTTTGATACTTGCGATGAATCGTAATGTTTATAAATGTGTTCTAAATAGAAACAAAGCAAGACAGTATATTCTATACCCTTTAATTTCAGCACGTGTGTCAACGGTGTTTGGGATTGCATTGTAGGTGACTGCGATCCTCCTGTGTGTGGTGAAAACATGAGGCTTGTTACATGTAAAAGCGCATGCGTAACAACGTGCAGCAATATGCATCTTCCACAGGAATGTACTCCTGCGACCTGTGCGCGTGGGTGTCAATGTCTTGACGGCTACGTCTATGACGGTACGTGCATTTATTCAATACCAGATCCCCAATTCAAAACAAATACATATCATTTGGTAGATTGGACAGTATTTTATACATACGCAGTAGTCTGAAAATACATCAACACGTATTTTAACAGTCTATTGTCTCTTTAGGTGATAGATGCATACTGCCAGAACAGTGTCCATGTCATCACGGTGGACAGAGTTACGATAATGGAGATACAATTACCGTTGAATGCAATAAATGGTAAGAATTATCAAATTTATTCGAATACAGATCAGTCAAATTCTGCCAATATATGTTTCACAGTTAATTATATATCCCCCCTTTTTTTAAGTGTATGCAATGGACACCAATGGGAATGCGACGTGAAGGAATGTCCTGGTATGTGCTCTTCATGGGGCGACTCGCATACAAAGACCTTCGATGGCAAAATGTTTGAATTCTTCGGTGAATGTGTATATGTATTATCCCGGGCTAATAAAGACAATCCATACCTGCAGTATAATATCACCAGTGAAAACATACTGTGCAGCACAACCGGTATTACATGCTCCAAAACAATAGTGTTTTCGGTGAGGCGAGGGGAGAAAGACGAAACGGTTCAACTGCAGAGAGACGGACCTATAACAGTGTCGGATGATTCAAAATTTGTAATATGGCAGACTGGATTGTATTTATTCGTTAAAGTTGAAGAAGGTATTACTCTGATCTGGGACAAGGGTACACGAGTTTATATCAGACTGGAACCCAAATACAGAGGACTTGTAAGTTTAAATCTAGTGTGCAGGTCGCCTATTGCTTTGTCTATCTCTCTCTCTATATATATATATATATATATATATTTCATTAAACCCATTATATTGAAAAATATGGTTATAGGTGTGGTGTATAATTTTATTTCTAGGTCGAAGGACTGTGTGGAAATTTTAACGGCAATCAAGCTGACGATTTCTTAACTCCGTTTGGAGGACCACCAACTGGGAATGTAATCGAGTTCAGCGACAGTTGGAAACTCTACGCCTACTGCGGAGACACACATAACACAAATGACTCGTGTTTCTTTGCTCCCCATCGACGGCCATGGGCGACACGACAATGCAGTGTACTGAAATCGGATACATTTGCCCCTTGTCATACTGAGGTAGATCCCGAGCCCTATTACGAACGATGCGTATTCGACGCATGTGCCTGTAACACTGGAGGTGACTGTGAATGTTTCTGTACAGCTGTAGCTACCTATGCCCAAGAATGCAATCTGAACGGTGTATCCATAAGATGGAGGAGCCAGGAAATGTGCCGTATGTATTAAGTACTTTCGTAGCTCGCTATATAATTATGTGTCGTAATGATAGTATGACTTGCATGTATTATTGCCCTCTGAACAAGAATTTATTTTGAATTAACTACTTTGCTTAATAAAAATATCTAGAAAATATTAAATTATATAATCAATTGGCAAGATACCATAACCTCTAAACAGATCAAAAGACGATTACTCCAACTTATCTTCTTTGAAGTTTGTAAACTCGACATAAATTTGGTTCATACAATACAGCAATAGTCCAATAAAGACTAGATAAATAAAAAATACAACGTTTTCCCATCCGATATAGACACAGAATTGGCTACTTTTTTACATAAATATATACATAATTGTTCCATTATAGAGCTGTATCTATGGTAATACAAAATAATTTTTCAAAACCATTTCACCATTGAAAGAAAGTCATCCACAAGATTATTTTACCTTTAACGGCATCCACCGAACTTATATTCGGATTTAAGTATGTTGAGTTCCGTGCAGTTATAATATTTTGGTTATTTTACTTTGTCTGACCTGAGACTTTTCCGTTTGATAGATGAAATCACATAGCAAATAATATCGCGGAGCATATCTGCCGAAGCGCACGATGTATAGGAACCTAACTTGTGACATTTTGCTAATAAACTTATTAATGCACATTAACAACTTGAAAGAAATGGTCGGCTAAAATATCGCTTACGCTTTCAGAACTAGTTTGGCACCAGGCGCTGTCAATGACGTATTCACAATTTGCATAATCGAACGCAACTATACTGACACAAATTTACATGAATTTATTTGTGCAGTTCACATTACAAATATCTTTAAAAAATATCATAACATGTAGTAAGGACCAGAAATGCGATCAACTTAATGCGCAGGTTTAGATTCTCTATTTCGACCTTTTTATCGTTTTATTCCACAGAAGGTGTATAATAAATTGTACTCTGCTTTATCGTCGCCGTATTGTCGAGACAATACCCTCGCTGTGCAATGCACTCGGACTTATTTTCTGAGTAACCTCATAATATTTATTGAAAAAAACCAAAAAACAGACAAAAACATTTTTCTCCACTATTCAAACAGGTATTTATTTCTAGACTTTGATTGATTCGTTGTACCTCATTAACGTATGACACAATAACGTCATAATTATTTCACCTTTAAACACCGCAGCTATGCAATGTGAGGGTTGCGGCGAATACCAGCCTTGCATAACGGCATGTCCAAGAACATGTGATAACTACTACAAGTACAATGAGTTAGAATGTACGGAGCCATGTATAGAGGGGTGTCTGTGTCCCGAAGATGAGGTGTACGAACCCGACACTAATAGGTGTATCCCCGAATCGCAATGCTACTGTAAGAAAATAGGCGATATCAAATATTATGACGGACAAACCATACCATCTTGTTCTGATGCATGCATGACATGGTAAGCTCATTTATCAATGACATTTATTTATAAAAATGTATAACATTGAACTGATTATATCTCAGTGAATTACACTGAACCGAACTATACACGCTGATTACCTGTGTACTTTTTTTTCTATTTTCAGTTATTGCTTCAATCACACAATTCACTGGGTAGGTCAACCTTGTATGACGTTTGCCAGTACATCAGCTACGATGTTGCTTACTACAGAAGGTATGGTCACCACTGATACTGCGCTATCAACCACGCCACACGTGATAACAACCACGGCAAAACTACATCCATCCGCATCTTACTCACCACCAGTCACTACACCAATTGAAGACACTCTTGAAAGTACTCTTGTCACAAAGACAAGTAAAATATTTCCATCAACGCAGTTTACTACTTCTTTTCCTGACAGTGTTAGAACCACAATTAGAACCACGGAGAAAGAAAGGAGCACACTAGAGGAATTCCCTGTTTCTATTGACCAATCTATTATATCTAAGACGCCAATATTTTCTGAAGTACAAGGCGAAACAACGCCAGGTATCATTGCTGACACGTTTACAAGTGAAACCCTGTCAACACCAATTGAAGGGACTCCTGGGAGTATGCCTGTCAAGAAGACAACAACAATATTCCCATCAACTCCAGCAACGCAGTCTACCACTTCTACTCCCGACGATGTAAACACCGATATAGAATTTGTTTCGACTGATCAAACTATTATACCCAAGATGCCAATAACCTCTGTGGCACAAGGGGAAACAACTTCAGGAATAATTGCAGACACACTGACAAGTAAAGGGATGTCTACTAGTGAACCAATTGCCACTAGTGCAACTCCCACGCCTCACGTTACAAGAGCCAGGACTGAAATACCTGTAGTTTCCACTGCTGCCACACAGGTGGCAGACGGAATGGTATCCATTGAACAAGACATAACTGAAATCCCGACCACTCAAGGTGTTGAGGAAACCTATAGTCTGGTGCACACAATGCCAACACTGCACACAGTTGCTGAACAAACTGTCACACTATCACCCACAATCACAGATGCACCGACAGCAACTTCCATAGTCTCTACAGAGGAAGCAACAATGCCCACAAAAGCAACACAAATCACAGTTGATGACTCAATGGGTATGAACACAGCTGCATCATTGACACACCCAAAAGTGAGTGTGACAGATGTTATTCCTGGTGGCCAAACAACTAAGGAATATACAAGGGAATCGATGATACATCTTACTGAATCAACAGAAGACAAATCTACCATTGTGGAGTCCACCTATGAGTTGCCGGTGTCTATTCCAATGATAAAACCTCCACTATGTATTAAGACTGGCTGGACAGATTGGATGAATGTGTATCAACCCGGAAGTGGTCCAACTGAGGGTGACTTTGAAATAATGCCAAATCTACGCATTTTTCATCAATTTTGTAGAAATCCTATAGATGTTGAATGTAGAAATTCCGACACACTAGAACCGCCTAGTTTCATCCTAGGACAGTTTGTTCAATGCTTTCCATTCTTGGGACTTCAGTGCTTTAATAACCAACAAGCCCTTGGGTTATGTGCAGACTATGAAGTTAGGTTCAAATGCGAGTGTGGTGAGTAAATAATTATACCCCTTTAATGTATAATTTATAGAGGTTGCATTATAAAGTTATTTATAAATGTAAACACACCCAACACACATATGATTTTTTTATTTTTACATTAGTAGCAGAATATTATTCTTTGTGTCTTTGTAGATGTCAGTACAATATCAATTCCAACAAGAAAGGGACCTACTGATGTCTCTGCCGACATTTCAGGGACAACTGTAATAAAAGCCACTGAAAGTGAAACTTCAAAGTTGAAAACATCCCCACACATCACCGAAAGCACTACCACCCCAAATATACTAGAAGTATCACCAACACAGGCAACATGCACTGATGTATATAGAAACTGTACCAAAGATGGTTATCGCTATCAATCTGAGGTGGAAATTTTTAATGTAAACTGGGATAATAGACTAAGTGATCGCACATCATGTCAGTTCATTAATTTGGCAAATGACATAACAGAAACTGTAAGTATCATGCATCGACTAATGTGACTATTTCTATATTTATGTGATTATTAATTTATTGAAGATTGAAGTGAAATATATCTCGCATACCTTTTTAAACATTGAACCACCTTTTTAATGAATGGTGCCATCCATAATGTGGGTGGTGTCCGTGACTAATGTACCATCACTTCAATCATCCCCCTCAAGTGTGCATTGGAAAGTGTCCTTTAAATCTACTGCAGACTGATACACTGTCAAATTGGTAACCAAATTGAACAAATACACTTTTACATGTTATTTCAACGACGATTCACCAGTTCCTGTAAGTCGTCTGTATCATTTGAGATGTGTGTATCTTCTCACCGATGCACTTAGAATGCGTATTATAGTATAGCAACAATTCACTTCTGTCCCACATGTGTCGTTTTGCAGTCTTTCTTCTTATTATAGCTTTGTTTGTCGGTAATTTGGGGGAGGTGAAGTAGAAATATGCATTGCTATTCGAGTTTTGATTCCACTTCTTTTTATATAAAATGGTTCAAGACCATACCAGCTATGAATGCAAAAAGGATGGATATAGTAGACGATGAAGATAATGTATTTTCAACTGTCAGGTGTAGGATAACAATGAAATATGTTAATTTGAGTAATATATAATACTGTATATTGCTACATAATTGAAAAAAAAGTGGGGAGTAAACGGAAAAACACATTGGTTTACAAAATGATTTCTGTATTAGTTTGATTTGTTAGAGCGTGGTCGACTGTTGTTGGGTTTATAGAAGTTTTCTAGTGAATCTCACCTTATAATTCTATGTGGTATATTATACTAACTGTATCATGATCAACTTAAGTCCAACTATACATGTCTGTTTAATTGGGTCCAGTTCAATATTAGATAATGGCCATGCTGATTGATATTTAATCTAATTGTTATGTATATACCGCTTATCATCGTTTTTTGAACACCACATGCAAATAGACTGTCTATTAATGAAACGTGAGTATGGGTTGAGTGGGGATGTGTGTGATGGGTTTGGTTATTATGAATTTTTTTATAAGATGATATAGTGATGTCTATACCATTCTCCACCAGTAAAGAGTTGTCTACATTTGGAGTTAGATCATAACAGTTTTAATGACCATGCTGAGTGATATTTAATCTAATTGTTATGTATATACCGCTTATCAACCGATATAAATGTGTTATTTTAAAATATAATGTGTATAGATAATGTACATTCTATTTTTGTTTTAGCTTCATGATATATACTCAGTCTCCGAAATGCTGAAAGACATATTTATTTGTGTGTATATGAATCACTTCAGGTGGGTCCGGTGGGTAGTATCAATCGGCACATATAATTGTGACAACATTTATACAAATGAACATTACATTTATTAATTGGCTTTGTATAATGTTATATACATGTTCATGAGTGGGCATGTTTATATCAAGTAGTTCAGAATGCCTTCTGTATCATTATCACAATTATTAACAGAAGATTTATTTCTAATACCTGATTTACCTGTGTGTTCAAAGTAGATTTTTAACCCAACATCAAGCATCACAAGTACACTTTTCAATGGTTATCATATTATAACTTTTACACGTGACCGGATAAGGGGAATGTTTCTATTTTGTTTTTTGTGCCTTCTGCCATGCAAGCTCACATGATGTATAATTTTTTTTCCCAGCAAAGGAAGTGTTATAGCACGACATACAATCGTGGTATCTCAAAGAATTCCATTTGATACTCGCTCACCAGCTTTACCAAAGAATATCACATATGAATGTGAGTAGAAGATAATGATTTTTCTCCACACACTTAACAATTGACATAATAATTAGTTAATTAGTGACAGACAGACAGACAGACAGACAGACAGACAGACAGACAGACAGACAGCGACAATATTAATGACATCACGATTATTTTGTTAATATATTATAAACAACATTTCTGTTTTCTAGATAAGACAACAATGTCACCAGAAATATCAAGCCTTTTCTCAACTGGTCAAACATACACACCAAGAAGTATACTTCCTGAAGAATTGACAACCTTGCCAAAAAGCCTTTTTTCAACATTTATGGACAAATCTACACCACAAATTACACAAGTGGATTCTATTCATGAAACAGAAGAGGGAATACCCCCTACTATTACTTCGGACATTCTTGAAACAACGACGACTGAAGCTTCCACACAAGAAATCCTCAGTACTGCAATACGTTCAACTGCACAAGAAATTGTTACTGAACAAATGGCGGCATTTACCAGTACAATACCG